GCCATTACAGACAAACGTGTTTGTTGTTCGAGGAGCGGCTCGGTCACACACTAATGTCATTAGTTTGTTATCATTACTAAGTTGCAGGACTACTTTTCCCCCTTTTTTACCACATCATGTCTCCTGCCTGGATCTGTTATTATCTCGCTCTGAAGCACAGAGGAGTGTCAGAGGTAAGCTCGTTTCAACTGCTTTTTACAACGCGGTCTCATTTCCATACTCAGATACTCAGATAAAAAACATTTATCCGAGTATAGTACTATCCCCCTACTTTATGGATTTTATGGGTTTAATTTTACATATTATAATTGAATAAATACTGTATATCACGGCATCACTATCCGTGCTGTGAGCATTCTGTCAAACACTGGAGAAGATCTCAGTGCTTTCCAAGCTCTCCACACCTGCCTGAGAAGACTAGTGAACTGTTTGTGTCTCTAAAACAGTGACATGTCCGCTCTTTCCTAGAAAGATCTCACCTGAGGGTCCTGACTCCCACCAGCTGTCTGAACTTAAATGTTTTAAACTTCCTCTCTGTCTGGCTTTATATCTCAATCCAGAACCCAGATCTTGCCAGTATAATCTGGCCTGGGTGGTGGTCTGGTGTGGAGGGAGCCATTCATAAACTAGAGAACAACTTACAGGAAATGTTGGTTGTGCTTTGTGATTTATCTGTCGTCACTGTCATTCATGTTCCACCCCAAGCAGCATCTTTTTCTAACCACTAAATGCCATGCCTCTCCTTTTCATGCACCACTCCTTCCTCTTTGGAGGTTTTCAGTGGAGATTCTGATCAGTGCCGGCCATTTTAATCCACTTCCAGTTACAAGCATCCTCTTTTCCATCAGATCACTCCAAGGTTGCTAATGTCTCTGCTGTCCGGTGAGGCAAAGTTACGGAGTGGCAGAAGGACTCCTTTTGTTGTTCCCTTAAGGATTTTAATGAACTCACTTGTGTTTTTGACCCTGTTCTGCCTGAACAAGAAGCTGCAAGGAGACTGTTTACTCTAAAACAAGGGAGGAGGAGAAGCTGCAGATAGTCATTGGAATGACGCAGCATTAACTGATGTCTTTTTTCAAGGATTAAATGATGAAAAAAAAAATTAACTAACCACCAGAGATCACTCAGAGTCTTTACAGGAGAGGACTCAGCCAACCACATTGACTGATTACAGTTTTTATTGATGGGTTTGACGCAGCCGTCGACTCAAAATCCACATTTTCAGAACAGTTAACGCAGAGGCCTAAACATTGACAAGGGGTCAAAATGATACATTTTGTTTGCAAAAGGCAACAACTGTGTCAAAACATTTAAAATATGGAACAAAAGCAAACTTTGCCTTCAAACAATTCAACTTTGACACAATGTATGAACACCTCCAAACAATCAGTACACAATGGACAACAAAATACAAAATACAGCACTCGTGTGAATCAGTGCACCATTGCTTGTCATTGTAGCCTATGACTGTARGTAGCTTACATGTCAGTGCTGTTTGTAGTCAAATTTACCCTCTTGTAAAAAATGCATCCAGAAGCAGATATGCTTTGATGCAAATTTTATTGATTATATTATTTTTTTCAGACTGTGCTGCCCTCGAGGATCAGGGTTGCCCACCCCTGGTCTACAGACACCTGGTTTGGAGAATTGAGAAACCCCAGAAATAGGATGGACATTAAATGGACATGTTTTAAACCAATCTAAGCAGGAAACTGAGCCTGTTGTTCTGCCTCAGGAGGGCAATCATCATGAAGTTCCTCATTATTCATTCACCACAGCTTCCATTCTTGGCACTTCATGGACATAAGCAACACATTAACTGGGTAAAAAAAGGAAATTGCCAACTGGTCAAAGAAATGTTTTTCATCTTGTCTGTTTGAAACAGTTTCTCACAGCCTAAAGTGTCTGAGGATCCAGATTTGTTCAAAGTCCCTTCTGAATACCACAATCTCAAGGAGGTTTTTAACAAGGTTAATCCCGCCTCATTGCCTCCCTGTATGGTTGCCCCATAGACCTACTTCCTGGTACCACACCCTATAAAGGACATTTATACTCCTTTATAGGGAGTCAAGCCATTCATAAATATATTAATGAGTCACTCCAGGTTGCTATCATCAGACCCTCGGATTCTCCAGTGGCGATGGGTTTCTCTAAACAAAGACGGTTCTTTAAGACCATTAGCAAGGTCTGGACAAAAACAACTATCAAGAACAAGAATCCTTTACTTCTTATGACTTCTG